TGATGCTTAGGCAGTATGAAGAAACGACAAATCGGATTTAATTAATCATAATTACATACCTGATCAATAAGAACGTTCTTAATATAATTTCGAATGACGTATCGGCATCTGTTTGAACAACTTGTCTGATTATTTTGATGTAATGTGACTGTATGTTTGCAAATTGTGACCTCGAATGTGCGATTACCATCAACTGAGATTGCTCCGGCAATAGTACATAGCCAATTTTAGATCTTTATAGCTTTTACCGTCAGCTGGGAGATGAATTGTAATGTATGGAGAGTCCAGCAGTTTTTTGTAAATGATGCTGACTTTTTAGGATTCTTTTTTTTTTTTTTCAAATGTGTGTGTGTGTGTGTGTGTGTGTGTGAATATCTGATTTGTGAAATTTCAAACTTGTACTCATATTATTGAAATGGGCTTTATTTATACTCTTGATTATGAATTTTTCCCTATTATATACTATTTTAAAACAATTTTCTAAGATGAGGTCACTTATACTAATATTTTATTCTTTAAGGAATTTTATTTGTTAAATATTAACTTTTAAATATAAAAATATTCACATTGACCCTTGATTAGCGCTTAAAATTAGATTTTGAATAGATTTTGATAAAAAGTTGATAAAAATTATGAATCCTATGAAATGTATAGTTAAGATCAGTGCTCTCAAGGGATATGAAACGTTCACCATAGTAGAATTCAAAAGGTGGGAACAAAAGATATTGTTTTATTTCAGTACGCCGAATTTGACAAAGTTCTTGCATGAAGATACCCATACCGTGAAAGAGAATGAAATTGGTGACCACAAGATGGTAACTTTTATACATGGCAACTCGTTTGAGACAAAAAATTAGTTCGGTGACTAAAGTGAAAAATTGTATGAGTTAGGCAACTAAGAACATGTTTGGGAGGGCTTTTTAATTTTTGAAGTTGGCCAATAAGCCACATTTAGCATACTTTGGAAGAAGCCACCCAAAAGAATCACATGCAAAAATACTCTGACATTATTTTCAACCCTTAAAAAAATTGATTATTTTGCAAATAATTTTTACTTTATCAAATAAATACATTACTTATTTGGGTATTTTCAATCATCTGAAAAGTTTATTATCTTAAAAATCACAAATTTTAATTCTAGGTTTTCAAGCTTATCAACCAAGATTCTCCGCGCACTAAAGCAAAAGACCCTTTAGTCACTATTTCCACGCGTTTTCATGTCATTATATAGACATGAAACATGAAACATGAAACATCTATGTCTTAAAGTTTTCTTTCCGAAAAAAATCATAGAGAACCACACTCAAAAACAGCAAGTGTTGGTAAATCTCATATTTTAGCAAAGGGCTGTTTTTTTCGCAAGAAATGGAGCATAAGAGGACGAGAGAAAATGTGCATGAAATGAAACCCTACAAGGAAGAGAACAGCAGCAATGTAACTAGATCAGGCAATAATGGAAGTGTTTTTCCGAAAGAAAAGGAGCACGTTTCGACTATGGTGGGTAAAAAAATTGCTGAGTCCTGTGAAAAAGTTGTGGAGTCTGTTGTTGATGCTGTCAAGAAGCGCAAGAACAAGGGAAAGCCAAGTCCAGAGAATTAGATTAAATTTCTATGTTATAAGTTTCTATCTGCAACAATTGTATGGAATTAAAATGTTGGTAGTATGTTTCATTTTATCTGCAGCAATTGTATGGACTTAGGAGTTCATAAGCAAGTTTAATTCTTTAGTGCCACTTAATATGATGGAGGTTACGTTATATGCTCCTTCCTAAGTTTTTTCCTTCTTGTCATTTCAGTATGAACAAATACACATCAATTTCTAGGGTTTTTGTGTTCAATAATATAGAAATGTTAAAATGAAAAATATTTCCATTTTTAGTATGAACAAATACACATCAATTTCTAGGGTTTTTGTGTTCAATAATATAAAATGTTAAAATGAAAAATATTTCCATTTTTTTCAGTTAAACCACTCTAGGCGGCATGTTTTAGTAGTTAGTCTTGCAAGACAAATGCTATTATTCTATAAATATGTACTTATATTAACCTTCAAGCTCACCTCGTCTTTAATTTATTTATTTTTGTCCAATAATTGTTTGCAAGATTCTTGAACTAATTTCTGTAAATATTGTCACCTAAACTTTATAGTTGAAGAAGAATATGAGAAGAATCAATCCCTAATTCTTTCAAGTATAGTTTTAGATTTTAAATCCAAATTTGAGAAATTACTTTTACATTTATATTATTTTCTTAATCAATTCAAACCAGATTAAGACCATTTTTTGCCATCTGAAACTTTTGATACTCATCACAAACCTAATAAAAATTTGCACTTTTAATTTAAACTCTTATAAAATATGACCCCATAAACCCTAATTTAAAAATCATACTTCATCTCATAAATATAGATTTGCTTTCCTTTCTCTTACGTCACTTTTCTTGTTTAGAGTATAGTTGATTTTTTTTAGTTTTCAATTTTTTAATGTGCAATGTTATCAGCAAATACTCCATTCATCTCATAATGATAAATTTGTTTTCATTTTCACACAGATTAAGAAAATATAATTGATATAGTAGAAAATATAATTTTTTTCATTAGACTTTTCTAATATACCCCAACATTAAATAATGATTTAAATAAGAATAATTCATATTGATTGATAACATTACATTAAATAGAGATATATTAGAAAATTAAGAAATTAAATATATTCTCAATAAGGAAAGTGACCTATAATTTGAGACAGATGCAAAAGAAAAGCGAACATTTTTTCATGGGACGGAGGGAGTATGAGCTATGATTTAAAGAAGGTGTGTATTAGGAATAAAGTAAATAAATTTATATTTTCAACTATATTAATTACATTTTCTTAATATGCGTAAAAATGGAAGCAGATCAATCTTTATGGGACGGATGGAGAAATTAATTATATAAAACACTAAAATCAAATAAAGACGGGTAACATTATTTAACACCATCACATTCATCGGTTTAGTTTACATCACTTGCGACATTAAATCATTAATTTAAATAAAAGTAAGGATTTATGAAACTCTTAATTACACCTATCATGCATGTTATGCAAATTAAATCTGTGTTAAATACAATCGTTGCAAAATGAGCACTTCTTCTTGTACAGATGGAGGGGTTCTGTAACCCCCTCCAAATAAGACACAAGGGGGTGATGGTTTTTTTTTTTTTTGACATTATTTTATTTATACGAGACTCACACCATGTAAGATTTTTGTAGTGATTATGTAGACTCCAATTCTGTACAAATGGATTCAGCCATTCAGCCATCGGAATAGCATTATCCATAAAGATATGCAATCCTAGGCGCTTTACTAGCTTTATACCCCATTAGTCAGACCAAAACTAATCTTGGTAGGGCCTTCACTACAAAAGAAAAAAGAACTGGAAAATATACCTTGGATTGGGATTCGTGAAAGNAGACCAAAACTAATCTTGGTAGGGCCTTCACTACAAAAGAAAAAAGAACTGGAAAATATACCTTGGATTGGGATTCGTGAAAGTTATTATTACCTAATCAATAATCCCTCTTTCCGGACAACAATGCGAGACCCACCGACAAGATGATTTTGCCATATTCTTACTTTCTTTCGATCCCCTCCCCTTTGCCGATGAAATTTGTTAAGAACCTCGAATGAAGTAAGTGTACATCAATTATTCTCTTCATTTTTAGTTTATTTTTTTGTTTTTGTGAAAAGGGAACACGAAGCATAATTTCATTCCAACAGGACCTCTTTCTTCTTTTTGGAATTTTCATCAAACATATCCCCACGTTTTTATCTTTACATTTTTTAACCCATTTCTCGTCTTGGGTAAAATCTCCGAACTATACTAAGATCTCGTTTGGCCCTCATTCTCATTCTCATTCTCATCTTTTTCTCTCTCTTATTTTCAATCACTCCGCCCCCGTTTGGCCCCCATTTTCTAGAAATGAAAATGGATGAAATATTTTATTTTTTTTAAATGAGTGGTTGGAAAAGAATGAAAAGTTTTCGATTTACGGATAATATTATTTTATTGAAGATTGAGTGATTGAAAATGGAAGAGATAAAAATAGAATGTAATGAAATGAAATTTAATAGGGGCCTTCAATCTTTCATAAAATAAAATTACACGTAAATCAAACACTTATGATTCTTTTTCAACCATAAATTTTTCAAAAAATCATATTCCAACCATTAAAATTTGGAAAGAATGGAAGCCAAATAGGAGCTAAGTGTAATTTCCTCCCTGCCCATTGATTGATTTTTTCTTCTTTTCTTTTATTTTATTTTTTTCAAATTTTTTTTTCCTTTTTTTTTTTTTTTTGGCCCTGATTTCTTGGGAACATAATGTTATTAATAAAGAAAAATAAAAAATCATAATGATGAAAATAAGTAAATCAAATAATTTCCCTGACCTTATGTTTATTGCATGTTTAGTTGATTTTTGAATTACAAATTAACTGATTATGCGGGAATTAAAATCAATTTTTTTAGTAAATTTTGATAAAATGCATGATTAAAAGGTTGTAGTTCTCACAAAATATATGATCAAATTAGTAGCATCAAAACTATCAAAACCACCCATAAGTGCGATAAATTGTTTGAATATTGTTTTTTCTTTATTCGTAGACGTGTTATGTTTTTAACTCATATCATTAATAAGTAATAAATGAAATAATAAGTTGAATATCGTCCACCAAAGATTGAGTATCCATCGCACTTTAATTAAGGTAACCCAAACAAGAAAATAGCCGAGGCTTGAAAGAAAGCAGTCAAATCTACTGTTAATTCTGTCAAGAAGCAAAGAACAAGGGAAGTATAAGTCCTAATAATTAGAATTCTGAATAAACATGTACTATGTTTATTTGATCTAGATTCTAGTATCATTGCTAGGAAAAAGCTCCCTACACAGACCACTTGGAACAAGGCCTATACATGGGTGTCACATGGGCCTGTGTAGGTAGCTTAGCTCATAATACTAACTAGTGTTCTCAAGGAGGCTGAAACTAGCCTCATATATTTAAAAGAAAGAATAAAAATTCAGGAATTTTTTGAATGGTAAAATCTTAGCATATCAAAATAACCAAAACATATTTAAGCCTGAGATTCAGTGATGTAAAACAATGAAGAAAAAAGACTCCAAAACAACAGAGGGCAAGGCATGTCAGCAATCAATCTAGTCACTTATTTCATCATCAGTAAAATCACTAAAAACATGAGGCTGTTCACCGTCTTGATTGCTTTCCGTTTCCATGGAATCCATGGATCCCTCATCGCCACTCTCATCGTTGTCTTCATATATGATCGGTGTTACCTTACTATTATCTTCCTCTTCATCATCAACAGTCTGCAAAAAAAGGATTTCTTCATAAAACTTCGTTGAGTTTCAGACAAAAGTAATTATTTAGAAGCACACCCACCTCTGCATAAAGCAAGTCCAAGCAACTTGATAATTGAAGAGCGTGGTTAAAAGTTGAGACTCTAGATTCTATAAGCTGCATATGGGTTAACAAATGCGTTATGTATTGGTGAATTGATTTAAAAGTGTTCGATCAAACTAACAAACAACACTTGCTAATGGAATATCATCAATTTTCAGTTTCATGTGCATTTTGAATGGCAGTACTTTGACGTTAATACCAAATATAATTTGACGTTGCTATGATCGAGATTTGGTGAGCTCTTCTTCGTATTGGTCGCCTTTATTTAGAGATGCAACTAGAAATTACATGCAATTAATTGAGATCTTACATTGACAGATTCTCCACATACATCAACAAAAATTTCTAGTTGTATTGCTAACCTGATATAAAGAGTTAAGGGCAACCAAAGAAGACTCTTGAGACATTATTCCACCAGCATGTTGAAGTAATAAACTTCTAAGCCATGGAAGAGCACAAGCCAGTACAGCACCCCTGTCAAATAAATGCGCAATAGCCAATAGTTATCACAAACTAATGAAACTATGCCCTTGTTTGGGCTCCATTTTAATGAGCTTTTGGGGAAAATGCATTTTGGAATTGTAATTTTCTGGAGAATGTGCGGTTAAAAGCACCAAAAAAATTGGATTTAGGCGTAATATTATTTTATTGAAGAAGGTGTGATTAAAAATGAGTTTTGAAAAAAAAAAATGCATTTTTAATTTAATGGAGCCCAAAGGGCTATAGATTAGCTTTGAAAAATTCAAGTAATAAAAAAAATTATGGATTAGAGAAACAAAAACATTAACGATCCCCCCATCCCCCCAAAATAAATAAATAATAAAAAATAAAAAACCTAACACATTGGATGCACTACAGAAGTTCTATTGATACTTCAGCTTTACAATTCTATCCGTACTAGTTTATTTTGAGGCAAATAACTGCATTGATATTTCAATTTTTTCCCCTTACCTCAATTGGATTATTGATATGAGAGACTGTAGAAACTTGAGAACATCAGATGGATTCAACAACGACACTGAATTTGATATTACCTGCAGTGAGATGGTGCTTCATCTTATAATTATTAAGAGTATAAAAAATGTAGGAAAAAAAATTGTTCTTTAAACATGACATATATATAAAAGAAAAAAACAAAGCACGACTAGAGCAGGAGACTATGATTTATGGCACCTTCTCATCTTGTCTGAACAGGCAATCTATTAGAAGTGCTCGATCATCAGCTCGTAAAGCTTGCTTAAGCAAAATATGAACGGAGTCCGCACTAGGTGGCTTTGTTGGAGAAGAAAACTCAACATTTTCACGGCTTTTGGGTTCTCTGATTTCTGTCAAGTTTAGGCTTGCAAGCTTCTCACCCATGGTCGGCTCATTCAAATCATTGTCGACACGAACTCCATCTATATGATCTCCAAGACCTACATGCCGCAAGATAACCAAATTCTTTCAATGAAGTTAGAGATATGCTCCTCTTCATATATTTACCCTATCTAAATTGAAAACACAAAATGTGTAGAGTCAAAGATAAGATATACAACTGAGCTTCTGTTTTGCTAGTATGCGAAACCTCAAGAACAATTCAATAAGTTCTAAGTGAAAACGGCTAACACTTAGTCTCAGTATCTGACTTCAAAGTCTAAGAACTTGCAAGTTTAGAACTGAAGTATCAAATTTGAGGTAAAAATCCTTATTATCTGCATATGACGTTCAAATGTTTGATAAATGTTCTCAAGGCAACAACTGGTTAAATTTTCATTGTCAAAACAAGACCTGAAGGTTTGGGCATGCTTTTTTTACACCATACATATCAGAAGGATTATCCTTCAATACATTAACAAGGAATTATCAAAATGGCAGCTGCTCTGATGCCATCCATAAGCGTTAAGTGGTGCTTGACCATTTTATGAACAGTTTCACATACCAAGAAGACCAAGAAGTGAAAAAAGAGAAGAAAAAAAGGCAAATAAAAGGGAGCCCTTATATGCTGTAGAGTTCAACTCCACGCCTATAGGTTTGAGCCCAATGGAGATAGTCAGAATATTCGAACCAACCTAACAAGAATGTGTAACAACCAGCAGCCTAACTAATTTTGTTATGCTGGATGAATATACAGTTAGATCACATGGCAATACAACTGGATTGGAAGAATATTCTTTTTGTATGTAAATGCATATATAGATCCTTCGTGCATATAAGGCAAGCAAAAATTTAAACATTAATCAACAGTTAATACAATTCATTTTACATTCTTGACTTGGTATCAGAGCCAAAATGGCTAACACCAATACCAGTAATCAAGTTACCCCAACCGAATCAGTCACTACACCTTCCACTCAAGTTGGTGTAAACCAGGTCTCACCATTTGGAATGAACCTCACTCAAACTCCATCAATGAAACTTGATAGGAATAACTTCCTGCTGTGGAAAAACATGGTTATGCCCATAATCAAGGGGCATAACTTAAAAGGTTACCTGCTTGGAACTAAAAAATGTCCACCAGAATTTTTAGCTACAAAAACGACCACTGCTGGAGGAGAAGCAGTAGAGATGGTCCAGAATAATGAGTACAACAAATGGATTTCAACAGATCAGCTGCTAATCGGCTGGTTATATTCTTCCATGACTCCAGAAATAGCAATGAGAGTCATGGGGTGTTCTAGCTCAAACACACGCTGGACGACAGTTGAAGAAAGCTTTGGCATACTAAACAAATCAAGGGTGGTGTTTCTTACTGGAGAACTGCAGAGAACAAGGAAAGGGTCCATGACCATGGATCAATATCTCACCACTATCAAACAATTGGCTGACAACCTACAAATAGCTGGAAAGATAGTCAATCATAGTGATCTCATAACACAAGTGCTATCAGGCTTAGATGATGAGTATACACCTATCGTGGTACAAATCAACAGCAGGGATTATATATCATGATATGAGCTGTCCTCTCTATTGATGACCTTTGAAAGTACGCTTGAGTACTTGAATCAAGTGAAGAACAATTTTCCATCACTGAATGTTGAGCAGTCAAGCGTTCAACTCTTTCAAAGAGCAGGACCTGCTGGTGGCAGAAACTTCAGAGGTATAAACAGTGCAAGGGGTGTGAATTTCAAAGGTAGAACAAGAGGAAGAGGTAGAGCAGGTAGATCAAATGAAGGAAGAGGACCTTGCCAAATTTGTGGACTTAACAACCACCAAGCCAGTTGGTGCTTTAATAGATACGATGATAGATACATGGGCAGCAGACCTAGCAACCAAAATCGTCGAGGCAGCACCTCAAACCCCTCTGCATATACTGCTGGACCAAGAATCCTTGAAGATCCGGCCTGGTTTGCTGACTCAGGTGCAAGCAACCATGTGACAGAAGACAAAGGTAAATTGAATACTGGTAAAAAATATAATGGTAAGGAGAAACTCTTGGAGATGGAAATTCATTGAAAATTGAACATATTGGAAAAGGAAACATCCCTACTCTAGATAATCCTCTTGCACTTAATAGAGTATTACATGTGCCTGAAATTAAAAAGAATTTGATCAGTGTGTCCCAGCTCATATATGATAACGATGTGTTTATTGAATTCTTTCCTGATCACTGTGTTGTAAAGGACTTGAAAACCAAGAAGACCCTGCTGCAAGGAGTGCTAAAGGATGGATTATATTGGCTGAAGCTCCAAACCTCAGAGTCTAAACCTACAAATCAAGAGTCAAACCATCGAAATAATACCAGGTGTTTCACAGTTAGTTTCGGTTGTGATGAGTCAACAAAAGGAGTCAAGTTAGAGTCAGAAATTGATATATGGCATAGAAGGTTAGGTCATCCATCAAGTCATGCGTTGAGTCAAGTCTTAAAGTCATGTAATAAATCCATCAAAATTAATGAAAAACTAGCATTCTGTGAACCATGCCAATTTGGCAAATCTCATGCACTGCCCTTCAATATGTCTTCATCACATGCCTCAAACCTCTTGGACTTGGCCTACACAGATATCTGGGGACTAGCACCCAGGAATTCTACCTCAGGCTTTAGATACTATATCATTTTTGTGGATGATCATAGCAAGTTCACTTAGATCTACCCCATGAAACATAATTCTGAGGCACTAATCATCTTCACTCAGTTCAAAAAATTGGTTGAAAATAAACTTCAAAGAAAGATCAAAACATTGAAATCTGACTACGAAGGAGAATTTAGAATCTTTAACCAAATTACCTTGGAATCTGGGATTGAACTTAGGCATTCTTGCCCCTATACTTTTGTGCAAAATGGAAGGGCAGAGAGAAAGCATAGACATATCACTGAAACTGGCCTAGCACTCTTAGCTCAAGCTCAAATGCCACTACATTATTGGTGGAAGTCTTTCAAAACAGCAACATTCCTTATCAACAGATTACCTACACCTGTATTACAACACAAATCTCCTTTTCAAGTGTTGTATGGCAAGAACTTGGACTACAAAACACTCTAAACTTTTGGCTGTGCCCATTATCCTTGTCTTAGACCATACCAAAAACACAAATTTGATTTCCATTCACAAAGATGCACCTTCCTTGGCTATGATGATTCACACAAAGGATATAGGTGTCTAAGCTCTAGTGGTAAAATATATACCTCCAGACATGTAATTTTTAATGAACGTGTTTTTCCTTTCAAGTCAAGTTTTATAAATAGATAAGTCCAACCACAAAACTATGAATTTGTAATAAGTCTTCTTCCGTTTAACATTGAGTCCAGCCACAAAGCAATTTCTCAAGATACAACCGATATGATCTATCCTGATGCATCAACTACAGCTGGTCGCTCTGGTAGAAAGCTAGATACTGAAGTAGAAGGTGAGGCAGGAGAAGAAAACAACAATGCTGAGACAAATCATGGTCAATCAAGTGGTCAGGTGGCAAGTGGTATTCAACAAGCTGAATATGAAGTTGAACATATTGAGAATGAAGTCAGCATTGATGAACAAACTGCAAAACAAGCTGTTGAACATCACATGGTTACTAGAAGTAAGGCTGGAATTTTCAAACCAAAATTTTACACAAGTCCGAAGGTTGACAAATCACGAGAAACAAAACCTTTGACTGTTGATGAAGCAATGCAGACTGTTAGCTGGAAAAATGCTATGATGGAGGAATACAATGCACTGATGAAAAATAAAACCTGGACATTGGTACCTTATGAACCTGGAATGAAGGTCATTGGAAACAAACGGGTATTCAAGCTGAAGTACAACTCAGAAGGCAAGGTGCTAAGACACAAAGCAAGGCTGGTGGCCAAGGGCTTTCTTCAAACACCTGGAGTAGACTTTAGTGAAACATTCAGCCCTGTCATCAAGGCTTCAACACTAAAAATTATCTTGACACTGGCTGTATCAAGAGATTGGAGCATCAGGCAAGTAGATGTGAACAATGCCTTCTTGAATAGCAAGTTAAATGACGTAGTATATATGCATCAGCCGAAAGGATTTGTAGATGAAAGGAATCCAAGCTCTATGTGCAAATTAGAAAAGGCATTGTATGGACTAAGACAGGCACCAAGAGCATCGCATGAAAAGCTGAAAAATACCCTACTGGAATGGAATTTCAAACAGTCCAAGGCAGATAATTCACTATTTTACTCAGTAAATGGTAAGAATGTTGTGTTTGCACTTGTCTATGTGGATGACATAGTTATAACAGGAAGCAACCATCAGCAACTACAACAGTTCATTGACAATCTAAACACAAGCTTTGCTCTTAAGGATATGGGAAACCTCACTAAGTTCTTGGGTATAGAAGTGTATAGAGACACAACAGGACTGCATTTAAATCAAGGAAAATATGCTACTGATCTACTGAGAAAATTTGGGTATGAGAACCCGAAACCAAGCTTGACGCCTATGGCAGCTGGGAAGTTAATTTCAAAAACTGAAGGACAGGCCTTAAAAACCCAACAGTGTATAGAAGCACCATTGGTGGTCTCCAGTACTTAGCCTATACAAGACTTGATATCACCTCCTCTGTAAACAAAATGAGCCAATTTCTCCAAACACCAACAGATGCTCACTGGAAGGCACTCAAAAGCGTGTTCAGGTACCTGAAAGGAACAATAAAACATGGTCTTATCATTCGGAAGAGTGACAATCTTGACGTAAGTGCATTTGCTGACTCTGACTGGGAATCATGCCCGGATGATAGAAGATCCACTGCTGGTTATTATGTATACCTTGGAGATAACTTGGTGTCTTGGTGCTCAAAAAAATATGTTGTAGCAAGGTCGAGCACAGAGGCAAAATACAGGGCATTGGCTCAAAGTGCATTAGAAATTACATGGATTCAATCTCGAATGAAGGAGCTTAAAATACCACAGAGGACGGTGCCAAAGATATGGTGTGATAATTTAAGTGCAAGCGTGTTGGCTTCGAATCCAGTTTACCATGCACGCACCAAACATATAGAGTTTGATGTTCACTTTGTAAGAGACAAGGTTCTAAGAGGAGAATTGAAAATTAACTATATACCAACATCTGACCAACTGTTTGGTCAGACTTGATGACAAAACCACTCAGTCATTCAAGATTCTTGTTTCTCAAGGACAAGCTTGGAGTGGTTGAGACACACTCCACCTTGAAGGTGGGAGTCAGAATATTCAAACCAACCTAACAAGAATGTGTAACAACCAGCAGCCTAACTGATTTGGTTATGCTATATGCATATACCGTTAGATCACATGGCAATACAGCTGGATTGAAAGAATATCTTTTTGTATGTAAATGCATATATAGATCCTTCGTGCATATAAGGCAGGCAAAAATGTAAACATTAATCAACAGTTAATACAATTCACTTTACATTCTTGACTGAGATACTAACAAGATTTGAAATGATTGTTCGAAATCCTAGAAGGAACGGATAACTTTTCTTCCATGCAATATTTAAGTCATCACAATCAGAATCTTATTAAAAAAAAAAAAAAAAAAAGCACTACACTTTGGATTAACAACTGAAAATTGGAACAGAGGATTATAGTCAATAAATAAGAAAAAAGATATCTTGATATAGTAAGATAAAAGTCTTATTTCAGCATCAATTCAGCTGATATTTAATATTATAAGAAAACAGGTCCATTTGTCAGGGCTTCTCCTATCACTTTTGCTTTGTTTCTTGGAGAAGAGCTTCCCTACCTTAGTTTCTCGTCTAGGTAACAAAGTAATCCCAGAAAATTATTCAATCATGTTCAAAAAGTAGCTCTTTAGATTCAGAAGCAACTTTTGACTTTTCAGAAGCCCCAAATGAGCCCAACAAACCTCTTGCAAATTCTCTCAAAATTTGAATCTTCCCAAGACATTTTAACTTGCTCGTTTTGCTTCAAGTACAATATAGACCAATAAAAATCCCATATTTTCCCCATTTTTTGGATTAAAAATTTTCCCAGCACTTCTAAATAGACAATAAATGATGTTTCATGAGCACTCACTTTTACCAGAAATCTCAGAAGTAAATCCATCAGCTTTGGATACATCACCATCTCTAGCTTTTCTTTTCGAAGATTTATTCTTCTTCGCCATTTCCCTTGCAACAATAGTTACCTACACAAATAAAATCAGCGAACAAGTTGGTTCCAAGAGAAACACTTGGACAAGTTTATTCTTTTATAATTCATAACATTAAATTATGAGCATGTACACAGAGAAGAAGCATATTATTGTTATTAACTATTTAAATTTACACTAACCTGTTTCTATTTTAGACTTCTCTGAAGAATGAAGAAAGTTCGAAGATGCTGGGCCTCTGGTTTTGTGGAGGAATTGATGGATTGGGAAGACGATTTAGGGTTTATGTTATGGGGTTTTATCAGTAATTACCTGCAGTAGGTGCAATGCATCAAGTATCTAACAAGAAAATTGCTGCACTGGTCCCTCAACTCATTACTCCAGTAGTAAATTGATTCACAAAAAAGAAATAAATTCGTAATCATTAAACTTAAGCTGGTATGCGCAATTAGCTCTCAATGATGAATACATATTTTCATGATTTTGTTAAAAATAAGACATACTTCAAATTTCTCGGTATAAATCCAAGTTCGACATATCAAATTTGATTTTATAAAATTGGACATATGAGACTCACGTGATGATTTAGCCCCTGTTTGGCCCTCATTTTTGGGTAATGAAAATGGGTGGAATAGTATTTTTTTGAAAATGAGTGGTTGAAAAAGAAGGAAAAATTTTCGATTTACATATAATATTATTTTATGAAAAATTGTGTGATTGAAAATAACAGAAAGAAAAATAAAATATAATGAAATGTAATTTAATAAGGGTCAAACGGGGGCTTAACAAACTTTTTACACTTTCAGTATTTAATAATTGGTTCTACACAAGGTCTAACTTGGTCCTTTTAAAAGTATCATACCAACTTACTATTTGAATAATATATTAAGCCCTTATTTGATCCTCATTATTTTCAAAATACATTTCTATCAAAATACATTTCTATCGCCTCTTCTAAATCGGATTCAATAAAATAATATTCCATGCAAATCCAAATTTTTTCTTATTTTTTAACTACACACTCTTTATCAATTTACTATTCCAAAAATGAGGCTCAAACAGGTGCTATAAATGTTTGTTTGATAAAAGTTTGCTAAAATTTCAATTGTTCAACTAGTCAAACTTCAATTTTAACCCGACATTTTTATTTCACCACAATTTTCATCAACCTTTCAATTACACATTTATCAACTTTTATCAAAATATACTAAAACATTTATCAAAAGCTTTGTCACACAATCCCCGACACACAATATTAAATTCTTTGCGTCACAAAATGGAAGATGGAGTTTCGAGCTGTCAAATTGTATTCGTGATTCTCATGAAGAATATAGACATGAATTTTTTCAACTTTCCACAAACTTGATTCTAAGATTTTCCCCCAACCACAATACTGATAGAATCTAACCAGAACTGAAGAATGGGACAAAAGAAAAGATGAATGGAAATGCTTTATTGATCAGAAATAGAAGAACGATTACAAGGAAAATTAATATTCAGTCATTCGAGAGGGCTGCCTCTCCTCACTGTATATTTCACGCAACAATTTTCATGCCTCACTCCCCTTACACAATTTCTATTTAAGACTACCATAACTGCTTCAGCCTGCCTTCCAAACCGAATTTGTTACATACCCCCACCTTCTCGCTTCTTCCTGCCCTTTCTAGAATAAGTGTATTTTATCAAGGGCCTATCGAATGGAAATGCTTTATTGATCAGAAATAGAAGAACGATTACAAGGAAAATTAATATTCAGTCATTCGAGAGGGCTGCCTCTCCTCACTGTATATTTCACGCAACAATTTTCATGCCTCACTCCCCTTACACAATTTCTATTTAAGACTACCATAACTGCTTCACCCTGCCTTCCTAACCGAATTTGTTACATACCCCCACCTTCTCGCTTCTTCCTGCCCTTTCTAGAATAAGTGTATTTTATTAAGGACTTATCAATTACCCCCCCCCCCCAATTCAGCCACCTTGTCCTCAAGGTGGAAGGTAGGAAATTGCTTGGAAATGAGATTGAACGGTTCCCAAGTAGCTTCCAATGGTGACAACCCTTTACACTGAATCAGCACCTCTAACCCTATTGATGTCTTCTGGGAATTAGTCCTCACCCCCAACACAATTTCTGGCTCTACCAGTAGTTCCCATTCGGCTCCAAGATTGAGAGGTAACTGGGAAAGCAAATGGTGTTCCCCCATGGCCTTGCGTAATTGTGAAACATGAAAGATTGGATGAATCTGTGTCCCCATTGGTAGTTCCAGTCGATATGCAACTTCCCCAACCTTAGCCAAGACTTTAAAAGGCCCATAATACCTGGGAGCCAATTTTTCATTACTACGTTGAGCCAAGGACTTGCGGCGGTAAGGTCTCATCTTTAAATAGACCAGCTCTCCCACTGAGAACTTCACTGCTCACCGCTTCCTGTCAGCTATATTCTTCATTTGTTGCTGAGCTTGATGTAAGTGAAGCTTGAGTTCATCCAATAGTTTATCCCGATCAGCCAATTACTAATCTAGTGAGGATACCACTGTTGTTCCCCTTTCAAACCGCAATAAGGAGGGAGGGTCCCGCCCATAATTAATGCGAAAAGGGGTCAGCACTGAGGACATGTGGGAGGAGGTGTTGTAAGAAAATTCAACCCAAGGAAGACAACGGTACCACTCTTTTAGCCGTGTGGATGTAAAACAACGTAAGTAGGTCTCAACCCCTCTATTTACTACTTCCGTTTGTCCATCGGTTTACGGGTGATATGTCGAGCTATGTTTCAGTTTGGTCCTCTGCAAGCGGAACAATTCACACGAGAATTTACTTAAGAACACTTTATACTTATCGGAAATTATCGACCTCGAAATTCCATGCAACTTGACTACTTCCTTAACAAAAATTGTAGCGACAGATGGAGCTGTAAAAGGATGCTTAAGACCAATGAAATGGGCATACTTACTTAAGCGGTTGACCACCACCAAGATAGAGTCGAACCCTTACCCTTCTATGAAATCCATGGAAATGTCGTCCCAAATTTTTTCTGGTATAGGAAGGGGTTGCAACAACCCTGCCGGAGCCAACGTAAAGTATTTATGTTGTTGACATATTTCACAGGCGGCAACATATGCCCTAATATCCTTCTTCATTCCAACCCAATGAAAAGTTTCAGCCACTCTTTTGTATGTCTTTATGAACCCCCCATGACCACCAACCTTACTGTCATGACCTTCTTGTAATGCTAATAAGATGAACGAGGAAGCTTTGGGTAAGACAATCCGTCCTTTATATAGCAAGGTCCCCTGAACTAAGGAATAACCTGGATGGGCAAAGGAGTCCTCCTTCAAAGCCATCACTATACCCCCCATATCCTGGTCTTCTTCTACTGCCTTTGTTACCTCCTCTAGTTATAGTGTACCTGGGATGTTTAATGCCATTAATGTAGCGGCTGCTCCCTTCCGACATAATGCCTCAGCTGCTTTATTTCTCGTCCGGGTTTGTATTCAATGTTGAAGTCAAATCCCAATAACTTCGTCAGCCACCTTTGATATTCATCATTTACCACTCTCTATTCAAGAAGGAATTTAAGGGCCTCCTGATCAGTTCGTACCACAAAACGTCTTCCAAGCAAATAATGCCTCCACTTTTGCATTGACAACACAATCGCCATGAGCTCTCTTTCATTTATGGACTTGTTCTGGTTACGTGGTGGTAGAACTTGGCTGAAATAAGCAATGGGTCTTTGATTTTGCATTAAAACAGCTCCCAACCCTTGCCCTAACGCATCTATTTCAATTACAAAGGGCTGTACAAAATTAGAAAGAGCCAACACTAGTACTGAAGTTAAAGCCTCTTTCAATTTCTTGAAAGAAGCCTCTGCCGCTTCATTCCACCCGAAATTATCCTTCTTTAACTATTGAGTTAAGGGCCATGCTAGTTTTCCATAGGCTTCTACAAAGCGCCTATAATATCCTGTTAGTCCTAGGAATCCTCTCAATTCCTTCAGGGACTTCAGTCTTGGCCAATCTCTCATGGAAACCACCTTGGACTCATCCACCGCCACTCCCTTTTCTGATATTATATGTCCAAGGTACTCGATTTCTTTTTGCCCGAATGAGCACTTCTTTCGACTGGCATGTAACTGATTGTCTACTAGAGTCTGCAGGACTCTCCTTAGATGTCCCTTGTGTTTAGCCTCTGACCAACTGTAAACCAGGATTTCGTCAAAAAAAGACTAGAACATACTTTCTGAGCTGGCCTCTAAAGATAGTGTTCATCACTGACTGAAAAGTTGTTGGTGCATTAGTTAAGCAAAAAGGCATGACGAGCAACTCATAGTGGCCTTCATGGGTTCAAAAAGTGGTTTTTGGGATGTCCTCTGCCCTGACCCTAATTTGATGGTATCCGGACTTTAGATCAATTTTCGAGAATACTGTCGCCCCCTTCAACTCATCAAGTAATTCGTCAATGACTGGAATCGGAAACTTGTCAGGGACCGTGACCTTATTTAGCACCCAATAATCCACACAAAACCTCCAACTCTCATCCTTCTTCCTGACTAAGAGTACAAGGCTTGAAAAGGGGCTTGTACTGTGTTGTATTATCCCTACAGCAGGCATTTCTCGTACCAACTGCTCAATTTCATTCTTTTGGAAATGCGGGTACCAGTATGGTCGTACACTAACTGGTTCTGCCCCGGGCTTCAAGATGATTGCATGATCTTGACTTCTGTGGGAAGGCAGCTGGGTAATTTCCTTGAAAATCAAACCGAATTCCTCCAGAATCTCTGTAACGAAGGTTGGTGGTTGAGATAATGAGGAACTTGTGTCGAGCGTGATATTTTCCAATTCTAACAGGAATCCTTCCCCTTGCTCCTTAAAAGCTTTCCACGTTGATTTTAGTGAAACAACCATTTTGCTGAGGCTCATATCCCCCTGAAGAATTACTTTGGTTCCTGCCACATTGAGGGTCATTGTTAAAGTTTTCCAATCCACTTGTGTTTTGCCCAATTTCTATAACCACTGCATCCCTAAAATCACATCAGAGCCACCTAGTTCCAAGGGTAGAAAATCTTCTTCTATCACCAATCCCTGCACCCGTAAAGCCACCTGTCGGCAAACACCCTCTCCCTTCACTGTCAGGCCGGTACCCATTTTAACATCATAGCTTGTGGTGCCTGACAAAGGGAGCCCCAACTGCTGCACCACTTTCGGCGAGATGAAATTATGTGAGGCCCCACTATCAATCAATACCACCACTTCTTTCTGACCAAGCATCCCCTTCAATTTCATGGTTCCCGGGGTAGTGAGACCCACAACAGAATTTATGGACAATTCCACCGATTGACCAAGCCCACCTTCCTCTTCTTCTTCGGTGACCAGCTCGCCCATAGTTTCCTCGTGATCGGAGCTCAGTTCGTCCCCTTGTTCCCTATCGTATCTCCCCTTCTTCCATCTTATGAATTACCAAGACTTGTAGCTCCTTATTCTTGTACCCCAACCGTAAATTTGTCATCACATCGATAACACAAGCCTTTCTCCCTCTTGGCTTGAATTTCGGCATCTGCGAGCTTCTTAAATGTTGAGGTATTTTTGGGGAAGAAATTAGGGCGCTAGGGTTGCATTCGTAAAGGGACGGTGATTTTATTTTGGATTTGGGTGGGTTGTGGTGGATTTGGGCTATGATAGGGTATGCTTTTGGGTTTTATTGGGCTATTAGTCCATGGGCTGGACTAGATAATTAGGTTTCGATCTTCTACCATTTGGGCCACCTCCATCATTTGCTCAAGGCCCGCTGGTCTTAGTAACTGGACCTTTGCCCTGATCCTTGGGTTAAGTCCATTGAGGAAATTACATTCTAGAATCTCTTCCGATACCTCTGTCAATGGTGATGCCAACGTTTCAAATCGCCGATGATATTCCCTTATGATGGAGCTCTGCCGGAGAGAGAGAAATTGAGCGCAAAGGGACCCCTCTTGTGATGATCTGAATCGCCTCAGTAATTGAGTTTTCACCTCTCCCCACAATTTCATAGGTCGGCGTCGTTCTTCCCATTTGAACCAAGCCAATGCCTCACCGTCGAAACAAACGGCGGCGGCCTTTACTTTTTCTTCCTCCGTGAGGCGATTGATACTGAAATACCTCTCCACACGAAAAACCCAGTCATCAGGATCAACTCCTTCAAACACCGGCATCTCCAATTTCTGTATTCGAGGTTTCCCTCGCCATTCGCCACTTGATCCTTCCCCAGTGAATTAACTTCCACCAAGTCTTAGTTGAGTTAACCCAGAATCAGCAGAAGCCATGGGTGACTTCTCCATTGTCGTTTCTTTTTCCTTACGCTCCCTTTCTTCAATATCCCGTGACCGCATCAACAACTCGAGTTTCTCCATCATTCCAGCCTGCATCATCCTGAATTCATTTCTCAAAGAGTCTAACCCAGTATGAAGTTCCTGGTGCCTGCTTTCTATTTTTTGCTCTAATTTTCCTACTCGATCAGACAGAGTCATGGTTGTTGTGGGAATGCTCTGATACTAGATTGATAGAATCTAACCAGGACTGAAGAATGGAACAGAAAAAAAGATGAATGGAAATGCTTTACTAATAGGAAATAGAAGAACGATTACAAAGAAAATTAATATTCAGCCATTCGAGAGGGCTGCCTCTCCTCACTGTATATTTCACTCAACAATTTTCATGCCCCACTACCCTTACACAATTTCTATTTATAGACTACCGTAACTACTTCAGCCTGCCTTCCTAATCGAATTTGTTACATACCCCCACCTTCTTGCTTCTTCCTGCCCTTTCTAGAATAAGTGTATTTTATCGGGGGCTTATCAAATACATCTATAAATATTACACTTAGTATTTGTTTGGGATAGATTACTTTAAGTGAAAAATGAATTTTTTTTAAAGAATTTGTTATTTAAAAGCATAAAAAATTTATTGATCCCATATTCAATAAAGATAAAAATATAGACCAACTTATAAAGGATAGGACTACTATACCTAACAATGTTGACTTTTTAAGATGAAACCTCAAGTCAAGTCTTAGGACTTGTTCGGTAGTGATTATAAGAATTAATTTTTTAACCATTAGAGAGAAAAGTAGATCCACTTGTAAGAGAAGAAGTCAAAAATGATGGTTGACTTAGAGAAGTAACGATCAAAAAATTGATTTTTTTTTTTCTTAGTGAAAAATCAGAACCAAACATGCTCTTAATGGTCTACAAGTGCAAAAGAGTCTGGTCACGGGTGAGTATTTGTACACCTTGAACGCATAGTTTTGCCTGTCTATTAGTTCAAAGACGCGGATGTATGTCCTTAACTTGAAGGGCATAAGCAAGTGCTGAGACGTCTGAATAATGTTGATGTTGTTTAAGTGAGCTGGTTGAAGCATTAATATTGGAGAAGAAATGTATCTTTGAAAGGCATTAATAAGTAACTGAAAGTCTGAACTATAAACTTCACCTGGGAAGTTTGAGTTTGATTAACTAATATGTTTCCTTTTAAACAATTTATACATGCGATTACAGCTTTCATTAATGTTAATAGGCATTTTTGAAACTAGACTATCGAATTTCTATAAATATATAGTAATTGATTAAACAATTTTTTCTTTTGAGTCTTACTTTGTTTAGATGTAGCAGTTTCATGTGTCGTGTCATACTCGTGAACACTTCTGGCAAAACAAAGAGAAAAGTTCTTCAGGCAGAATGGCGGATTTCTTTTGCAGCAAAAACTTTCCAGTCATGGTGGAGCCACCAAAAACAGCCAAATAAATAAATAAATAATAAAAAAATAATAATTTTCTTAACCATGCAAATTCGAGTTTTACTTTTCTATTTGCTTTACTTTATTGCTGGTTTTTATTGTGGTGTGGCAATTTCTCAACAGCTCTAATGCTCGGACTCTTCGAAATAATTGGAGTACCCATATCGAACACGACACGATATGAGTATGGGTATGGAATATATGTCGGATCCTCCAAATTTTAATCGGACACTTTGTTGTTTTTTGCCTCCTTTTTTCTTTTCTTTTCTTCTTTCCCGTTTCTACTTAGTTCTCCACTAAGTCCAAATTGCAATCAAGTACATTATTGCTCTATTATATAACATTTAATAATGTCCATAATTGAAAACTAAATCCCAAAATTCTATTTTATTCGTCTTAACTCATTATTTAATATACATTTCCTTCTTTGTGAATAATTGATTTTGATTTATTCAAAATGACATATTGGATTAGTAAAAAAACTGAAGTTTGAAAAACATATCTACATACCCGTGTTCGAAAATTGGCTCTTTTCAACCATGTCCCCAAATCCTACATTTTAAAAAATAAAATATCCGACACCTAGATATATACCCATACCCGATACCCGTACCTGAGTCCAAACATGATAGCTCAACAGTATTGATCCTGTTGATGATTCTCAGCTGGTGCGATGACAAGTATATTCGGATCCTCGATACCCCCTCCCTGCCAACTGACTGAGAAAAATGAAGTTTACAATTTTGGAGTTGTGGCTAAATTATTAACCGCTAAGAAGGCACATTCTTACGACAGAGAAGAATATTATACAAATCTTGTTGCATGCTTTCTGCAATTCAACAAGATGGATTAGTACAAATTCTTGACAAGAATTTGGCAAGAGAAGATCAAATTGAGCGTGCGATGACAAGTATATTCGGATCCTCGATACCCCCTCCCTGCCAACTGACTGAGAAAAATGAAGTTTACAATTTTGGAGTTGTGGCTAAATTATTAACCGCTAAGAAGGCACATTCTTACGACAGAGAAGAATATTATACAAATCTTGTTGCATGCTTTCTGCAATTCAACAAGATGGATTAGTACAAATTCTTGACAAGAATTTGGCAAGAGAAGATCAAATTGAGCAGCTAAAACAATTTGCAAAACTTTCAGAATGGTGCCTCAACAAGTATTAATTTCTCTATTTGTGGAAAATTTATACTCCATTAGACCAAAATGGGAGTAATTTTTTATATATACGAGTTCATTAATTGTGATTGTTGAAATTGTTCTTTAGACCGTTAACATATAAATTTTCTTGCTCACGTAGTTCGTAAATCCTATATCGTTGAATCCTAAAATTCCAATTAATGTGTGATTCATTTTTTCTAGCAGTTTGTTGGGATTTGGTCACATGGAAAGCAGCTCAAACTTGAAAAACTAATTTTTCTTTTGTAGAAACGTAGTTGGTTTGACTTACAGGAAATAATTCAAATTCCTACTTTCAAAATATATGAGGCAAACATAATATTAAGGTAGAAAACTATTGACACAATTAGCCCTGTTTGGCCCTCATTAATTTGAATTATAATGGGAGAAATAGTGTTTTTTGAAAAATAAGTGATTGTAAAAGAATGAAATTTTTTTTATTTACATGTAATATTATTTTATTGAAAATTGTGTGTTTGAAAATAAAAAAAGAGAAAAATATAATTTAAATTAATAAGATTTAAAGGGGGCCCAACGGTTAGTATCATAGAAAATTGACAGTTTGGCAAGCATTTTATTTTTGCTTCTGTTTTTCATAGAAGAGTTTTTGAAGGAAGTTACAATGACTCAACTTTCTCTAAAAACTCTTATAACTGGATGAAACACTTCTAAAAAATTATTCAAATAGTTTTGAAAGCAGCTTATTAGAGCATTTTCAAGTGACTCTCTATCTTTAAAGAGTATGTTTGAATTATTAAGAGTGTATCTATGAATTTAAAGAGTTAAAATTTTGAAGTACTCCAACAAACTTTTTATATATAATACTTAATTTTACTACTCCAAAAAAATATTTATTATCTTTCTCTATCTTTTATTTTAACTAGTTTTACTTTATATTGTTTTATTATTTGCCTACATTAAAAAATAAAACACTTTGAATGCATATAATTATAGAGAGTGAGGTTGGCTTTCTAAATTACAACGTTAATTTAAAAAGGCTTTTGAAACATAATTTTAAAGATTGACTCTTTAAAATAGAGAATATCTCATATTTAATATGGGAATGATATATAAATGATTGTTAGACTTTTTAAATTTAGTTTTGCTTTTCGAATAATGCTATAGCTACATAATTATTGATATAATGGTTGACATAATGTCACATAACACTTCCTAATTGAACTGTTTTAAACACAGTCAACATTTTCATCAAATAATATCTTCTCAATTAACATTATGTCACCCCATTTATGGACATAACCCTTGTTTTTCAATAAAACATGCACCAGAAAAATTGGAGAAGTGGCGAGAATTGACCGCCAATTGGCAAGAATTTATGAGACAAATTGACCGCCAAGAAATCCACGTTACTAAAGGAAAAGACCCTTCACTCAGAAATTTCCATGCCGTTTCTCCCCCTAGAGTCTATGACAATTGGGAACGGCTGGTCGAAGCCACTCTGCTGAGAGAAGAGCTTCGAGAAATTGCTCGGAGCTCTAGTGTCAGCTCTGTTTCATCAGATTTCGGTTCGAGTTTCAGTTCTCCTCTTCACGACCATGTGCCTGTCAAGAGCCCTGAAGGTACATCTCTTGTACTTCGATGTTAAGTTACCTTGTCTTTTCTATAATGCTTTAAAAACATAAAATCTATTAAATATTTACCACAATTTTCATTAATTTCTTAAATAAAATGCTTCCACCGATGATGCAAGTAATGGTTGGCCTGTTTGTGCAGCTGTAAAGAAAAGCCATTTGGTACTCTTGAAGGGAAGTTCCCTCTTAGATTGGATGCTCCCGAAACGAAGGCTGACAAAAAGAAGAGAGGAGTTCTTCCAGAAAAATGGAACAATTAGATTGTTTACTGCAAAAGATCTCCGGAGGGCTACATACAACTATGACAAAAGGAACATAATCAACAGCGACTGGATTACTGGAACAGTTTACAAAGGAATTTTACCTGATAATACAGTCGTTGCCATTAAGAAGTCATGTAGTGATCAAAGGAAAATTGAACAGTTTATGAATGAATTAAAAATTGTTTCCCAAATCAACCACCGGAATGTGGTGAAACTTTTGGGGTGCTGTTTGGAATCTGAAGTCCCTTTAGTGGTTTTTGAATTCGTCAAAAACGGGACTCTTTTATGCCATATACACGATCCAATTCGTGCTTCAAATTTCTCATGGGAAATGAGGATAAAAATAGCGGCAGAAATCGCAGGGGCAGTTGCATATTTGCATTCAGCTGCATCCACCCCGATTGTTCACGGAAATTTAAAGAGTGCAAACATATTGCTGGACCAAAATTATTCTGCAAAAGTGGGAAATTTTACAACCTCCAGGTATTGAACCCGTTCATCTAAAAGGTTAAATCTATTAGAGTCGGACAAATTTATTTAAATTTTATTTATCTTCAAGATGTCTCCTCACAAGAAAATTGAGTTATTTTTTTCCATAAAACATCTTACATGTGCATGAATTTATAGACATATGGTTGAATCACTTCATCTAAAAGCTTTCAATGTTTGACAGATATCAGCAAATATATTTACATAAGTTTTGTCTTCAACATCAGGTTTCTCCCTCCTGGTCATTCTCAGCTGACTACATCAGTGGAAGGAACTTATGGATACTTGGATCCCGAGTACATCCGTTCAAACCGACTGACCGAAAAAATTGATGTTTACAGCTTTGGAGTCATCTTGGCTGAATTATTAACCTGCCAGAAGGCTCTTTCTTTTGACTTACGCGAAGGAGAAATAAATCTTTCTGCGTACTCAGTTTCTGCAATTCGAGAAGATCGATTAGAACAAGTTTTTGACAAGAATTTGGTAAGAGAGGATCGAATTGATGAGT